CATGTTAATAGTAATTATACAAAATGTAAGTAATACGTTAATAATAACTACATGAAGTGTAAATAATATGGTAATTATAACTATATGAAATGTAAATAATATGTCCATCATAACTATATAAAATTTAAATAATATGTCCATCATAAGTATATAAAATATAAATATGTTGATAATAACCATACAAAAATATGATTCTGCTTATTTCGACACCCGCCATAATATCAACGTAACCTAACATTTTATAATGTACTTTTAATCACTTTTCTTACATTATAAAGTGGCATAAATTCTCCAAAATACTAAAGGAGAAGAAAAGGAAAAACTACCCACAAAAAGATGTTTGTGCAGTAGGAAACCTTTAAACTTCGTTACAAATTGCCGGTGAGAGGTTTCATGGTCCAAAATTAACTCAGGAGGAAACCTCATTGCAATTCGTTAAATGAATTTACTATAAAAAAATATTTTCTTTCCACAAAATATTTTTATCTAATTGTTCGTTTAATTATTTGTTCATGTACAAAGCAGATTTTGATTAATTTAAAACTTTTTCTTTTACAAGTGATTCTTATTATTTTTTTGTGAAAGTAAAACTTTTGCCCTTTTGGATAATTTAGTTATAATTAATGTTATTTAGTATAAATAACATATTAAACATTTATAATAAACTAAACAAATAACATTTATACTAAATAATCATTGAGTAATTATTTAGTAATTATTGAATAATTATTTAATAGTTATTGAATAATTATCTAGTACTTATTTAGTATAAATAACATTTAACAATAATTCTACATTGTCTGCAAGTAAAAGAAATTACAATATTACCTTAACTGCCTCCTGAATCCTTCAATCACTATGATATTTACCTTATTAAAGAATATAATAACTATTAAAAAGTCATATCGATAACAATGTGTAGCCTTCAATAAGATAATAATGATACTATCGATCGCATATGCAACAAATGATAAAAGCTGAACGTTCGAGACCATAATGAAGAGTATGAGAATTAAGTTGCCATATGCGATGTCTGTCCGCTCATAATGCAAAATGTGCGAAAATTAGTTGTTAATGGGATTGCAGAGTATCGGTAAAACCTTGAAGAGGCCATGCTTTTCTCCAAGGTCTGCAATGTCGAATCAAACGTACCAGGATGTACAGTCTCTGGTCAAACAACGTAGTTTTTGTTTCCAGAATCGCGGAAGAACTACTTATTATACTAACAAGCTCATAATTGTATTTTTCTTAAAAAAACCGACGGTTATTTTGGTCTTTCGTTTTGTACCAACCTCCGACATACTTTTTCAAGTATATGAAAATTGGTGAGCAATTAAGAAACTTATTTTAAAATGATATTAGTGCTCTGAACAAGATTGTTTAGTAGTATATTTTTAGATGTCGTAATTATTTATGAAAGGAACTTTTTAACACTATTTCTACCATGAGGCGTCAAAAGATATCTTTCAAATTTGAACTTAAAATTATTCTTGAAGTTGAATCACTTCTCCACGATTAATTTTTTGACTTTTCATATAAGGTGAAGTGGGGTAAGTTTGTAAACGGGGCAAGTGCGTATACGGGCTATTTTTATTACAATATGAGCGAAATTTCTCCATTTAGTATGTTTGTTTCCTTGTTTTTTTTCACTATATCCCCTTTTATATTTCAGCTAAGAGTACTTGTTTGCAGTATAGAGTACTTGCATAATGCAGTAAAAAGCATTTTATAGCAAATTTGTTAATAATTCTGCTCTTGCCCCATTGCACATGAAATAAAGTTTCAAAGTATTTAACTTCAAGTTACGCTCTTACCCCATTTTCGGGGAAAGTGCAGAGTAGTTGACATTTTAAACAATTTCCTATCAAAATCAAAATGTACAAGGAAAATTAAGGTCTTAGTTAATATTAATTAAATCGTAATAATTGTGCAAAGCGTTCGATATCGACAGCGTTAAGTATTTACATAGCAGACTGAAAATACTTACGTTTAAATACCAACTTTACAAAAACCAGTCTGCATTTACCCCACTTCATAGTTGTTACATTAATTCAGCGATATCATTTTCTTCCAGCTCATCGTAGATCTAAAAATATGCATAAGTATACCTATTTCTACCATAAGGTCTTTTGACATTTGATAATTGACTATTTGATAATTGTTATTGTTATAAGCAAGTATTGTAAGAGTGATTTTCTTCCATTCAATATTTCATAATGTCAATTTCTTTAGACTGCACATTTGCAAAATAATGGCTGCTCTCTGCTATTCAAATGGAATAGCATTTAACTAATTTTACTGAAGTAGAAATTGTTAAATCAATTAAAAATGGACAACAATGAAACTTCTATATACATATATTATCTTGTATTGCTTCGTTTACAATACAGTGATTTTAAATTATATTACAGCAAGTTTTAATTATAATTCAAATTATTTTTTAAATTTTTGTGATTTTGAAATAACATGTTTCATTCCAAGTTAAAATTTAAGTAATAAAATATAAAATCGAAGAAATGTACCGAATGCTATATTCTCCATGTATATACTCCATGTACATATTTACTATCCATGTATTTAAATACAGTTTAGTTTATCAAGTTTTTAAAAAGTTTGCAAATCATTTTACAATAATTTGTAATATGTATTATAATATACATTTGAATTATTAATATATTGTTGCAAATATTATTGGATCACTTGACAAAATTATGAAAAACGCTATTGAATGAAACCATGTAGGATAAATATTTGTGAAAGTACGTAAGAATGGAGAAGATTGTAAAGAGAAATATTACAGGAAGGGTTATTAAAAGAAATATAAAGAAAATCCTGCACTTCTGTATCATTTCATAACAAATAAAAGAAGATGTTAAAACATAACTGTTCATTTTTTAAAGATTAAAATATTTATATTTAAACAAGAAAAAACAGATGAATTTGTGAAAAGATCAAAAGATAAGTTTAAAAAGAAAATTAAATATATGTTCGAAGTGTAATATTTTAAATACCACATAAAACTGTATAAATATTAAATTTCTGTAATTGATGATTATAATATGTGGAATATGTGGCATATGTGAAACATAAATGTATGTTACATACAATAATATATGTCGAATTACAATATCAAAATTATTTCAGAGAAAAAATAAATAAGATATTATTTTTAGTATGTCTGTCACTAAAGCATTTAGAAATTCTCTAAATAATAAAAAAATGTGAAAAGTGTCATAAATACTAGTTAGTTTCGAAATAAAAAGTATTTAATACTAAAACTTATCGAAAGTTAATAACTTATAACTTATAACGGTCGAAACTTATAACATCTTATATTTTTAAGCTGCATAAACTTGCATAAAATGCACCAAAGTGTCTGACTATTTCTCTGCAGTTTCCGAATATTGATTCTATAAAACACAAGTAAAATTGCTTAAGGTACATATACTTATTACACTTAATGACCACATCCTCGTTAGTGACCAATTTACTTCATTTTATTCGAACTAATAATTACAACAATCTGCTGACTATAATCTGGAAACATCGTAGTTATAAGTATTTTGTTATTTTAAACATTGTTATCTAGTTAAGGTGTTTGTTAACGAGAACAAACTTAGATTATTATCAAATGTGTTACTGAATACGTATGTATTTATGAAGTTATTAATTTATTGTAAAACTTATTAACTTACTCCAAACTTCCAAATTTCTGGATTCTTAAATTTCTAAAATTCCAAAATTTTTAATTTTCAAAATTTCAAAATTTCTGAATTTTTAAATTTTTAAATTTTTACATTTCTAATATCTGAAGTTCTAAATTTCTACATTTCTAATTTCTTAATTTCCAAACTTCCCAATTTCTGGATTTTTAAATTTCTAAAATTCCAAAATTTTTAATTTTCAAAATTTCAAAATTTCAAAATTTTTAATTTTTAAATTTGTACATTTCGAATATCTGAAGTTCTAAATTTCTACATTTCCAAATTTTCAAATTTCCCAATTCCACAATTTCTAGATTTCTAAAATTTCCCAATCCCTCATTTTCTAAATTTCTATAGTTTTCAATTTTTAAATTTCCCCTTTCCATATTACTAAAATTCTAAATTTAAAAATTTGCAAACATGCACTTTCCACATTTTCAATCTCATGACTATCCCCTTTTCATCTCTCCATATTCTTAAACTTTCCAAATTCCCAACTTGTTAAATTTCCAACTTCCCAATTTTCTAAAATCCCTAATCTCAAAGTTCTTCAACTTTCCCATGGAAGTCAGATTTATATAATTTAGTCAAATTAACAAAATGGATGCAATTAACATTACAACAACAAGTAACTAACAGTTTCTATTTATACAATTCTAAAATAATGTGGTCTATAAAAGTAACAGACTAAATTATCTTTATCACCAAATTTTTTAATAAACATTCAATATTGGACTTGAAACCCACTGTATTTAACTTAAAAAGAATAACATTAAATGATAAACATCCATCCAAAAATCTTTACTCGTAAGTAAATAATGACTACTCTCAAACTGTCAAAACGATCGAAGAATAAAATTATTTAACCAATATCGTCGCTTGATTGGCGTAAAATATTACTTGAACAAATTTAAGATTTTATACAAAATATAAAATATTAGGGGTACTGAAAAGTAATCAAAATTTTGTTTGCCTTCGAAAAACATTTATTTATTAAAGAAATCTTAAATGCTGTTCAACAAAATAATTTCCATCATCTTCTAACGCTTTTTGCCAGCGTTAAGGCAATTGTAGCCTTTTTAAAAAAGTCCTTCTATGTTTTATTAAAAAATTTCGAAATCATCGAAGAAATTTTGAATACTTTTCGATCTCCTAATATATGTATTATACAAAAAAGCACAGAAGAACAAAACATTTCGGTGTTCACCCAACTCCATTTTACCGCACCACAAAATATACCACACAAAAGACGAATTTCAACATAAAATCGTTTCTCTTTTTAAATAATTCTCTTACCTCTCATTCCAGCTTCCTCGGTCGATCGTTTATTCGTAAAAGCAAGCAAACGCATGTTTACCAAGTGACTGCAGTGCGCGAATACAAGGGAAACGATCCATTCGCTGGCAACCCACAACACACTGCACGCAAAACAGTCGAGAAGTTCCGATGTTATCAAGGCCCGGTAAGAAAACAGTTCAGGTATCATTAACTCACTCGTTCGAGCTTCGTTGCAGCGAGAAAACCATCGGAATTACGAAAAACTTGCTTTTTAACGAGCGTTTAACCCGTCAGAGAATGAATCACTTCCTTTGAGCTCGCAATATTTGATTCAATATCAATAACTGCACTTGACCGATGTCTTATCGGTGATTAATTCTTAGATCTTTAAGTATACGGCACTTTGTACTAATAAAATTAACCAGTGAACTAAAACAAGATGCTCAGCTTCTTTGTTTACCACAAATACCTTGTAAACTTTAATAATTTCTAAAATGTTAAAAATTTGGTGTATGGTCAAAAATATAAAAATAATATTTAGCTACGGATTTGTTGATGAAAAGTGTTAGCAGCTGAACTGAAGAGCCACACGTTTACTGTCACTTCGAGACAAAATGCATGAACTGATTCATCCTTTTACTGGCGCGAAAATTTGTACGACAATAAAACTGATACTGCTTCCAAAACACGTGTCGCACGAAAGACACTCGAAGAATGAACCGACTAGCAGTAAGTCGATGCGCTTTTGTGGTTTCAAAAGCGACCGCCAGCATCCTGTCTACAAGAAATCACGTGATTAATCTTTTGTACACGCACGAATATGTCCGTACATGTACGAATATGTCCGCACATGTGTACATACGTATACGCATATGTATAAGCGTATACATTCGTATATATCATATGTTTATCAGCGTGTATACATACGTATATATCATATTTGTATGAGTGTGTACACATACGTATATATGTGTTCATACGCGTGTGTGCACACGTATATATCATATGTGTATGAGTGTGTACACACACGTATATATGTATTAATAAGAATGTGTACACGTATACATATGTGTGTGAGTATGTATACATACATGCGTAAAGGAGCGTGAAGCACATATGTAGGTGTGATGCATGTGTCATACCATTGAATGAGGCGAGAATGGAATAAACCTCGCTTACCGATCGACTTCTTTTTTCCTATCGCTCGATTATCGAAAGACGATATACGCTTACGAGAATCCTGGAAAAGTGCCACTTACGGAGGGAGAGAGAGGGAGTGAAACAGATGGAGCGGAAGAAAGAGCGCGGAGAGGAACTGAAGAGAGATGGAAGATGGAATAAACCCGGAATCGGAAGAGAAATCTTTGGGTCTTCGGGAAGTGTAATTTAGAGTGAGATATCTTAGGGAAAATGTGTAGTACAATACACTTTTGTATTTCTGTAGAGTCGTATGTTTTGGGCACATTTCTGGATTTTAGAAATGAAATGTGAAAATTTATGAGTTTGACAAAGGGAAGTAGAAATTTGGAAATTGGAGACTGTGGGAATTTAACAGTTTGGGAATTAGGAAGTTAGTGGATTTGAATATTTATGAAGTTAACAATTTGGAAATAAGTATAAGTTTAGGAATTTGGAAGTTTAGAAAACTAGGAATATCGGAACATAAGAATTCAGGAATTTGGATATTCGGAAACTTTGAAAATTTGCGAATTTTTTGGCTTTGATATTAAAGAAGTTTGACGTTAGTAAATATAGGAATTTGGAAATTTGGGAGATCTAGCAATTTGTACTTGGAAAATGTAGATATCTAGTTATTTTAAAGCTTGGAAAATTGAGAATTAGAAGATTGGATGATTAACGTATTAAGAAATCCATAAACTTAAAAATTTGGAAATATAGAAAGGGGAATTAGAAATTTAAAAAATTAGGGATACAGAAATTTAGAAATTCGAAAATTTAGAGATTCGGAAGTTTAGAAATTCGGAAATTTAGAGATTCGTAATTTTAGAAATTCGAAAATTTGGAGATTCGGAATTTTAGAAATTCGGAAAATTAGAAATTTGGAAATTTGCAAACTCGAAAATTTAGAGATTCGGAAGTTTAGAAATTCGGAAATTTAGAGATTCGGAATTTTAGAAATTTGGAAATTTAGAGACTCAGAAATTTAGGAATTCGGGAATTTAGAGATTCGCAATTTTAGAAATTCGGAAATTTGGAGATTCGGAATTTTAGAAATTCGGAAAATTAGAAATTTGGAAATTTGCAAATTCGGAAATTTAGAGACTCGAAATTTTAGAAATTCGGAAATTTAGAAATTCGAAAAATTAGGAACAGGAAAATTTAGAAAATTAAAAGTTTAGAAATTTGGAAATATAAAAATTGAAAAATTTTAATTAGAAATTAGAAATATTTTGATTCGCAAGTTTAAAAATTTTAAAAGGCAGAAATCCTCAAATTTACAAATTTGAAGATATTAAAAATCTTAAATGTTCAAATCTACATAGAAATTTCTAAGTTGGTAAGCTTTTAAACGCCGCATTGAAAAACCTCTTGCTATATTGCCAGTTGCAATATTCCCGTTTCGCATCGGTGGCCGTTACTGACCTAACGCAGCGTGGAAAATATATGTATAACGTCAGTATCTGCCCCGGGCAATGTAAACTCTATGGACGACTGCTTGTAGCAACATGTTTTATGTATGTATCTACAAGATAATTTAAATCTCGTTTCTTGACCTACAAATCCTAAAAATATCTCAAACTTGATCTAATGAATAATTGCTACTGTTTCTTCCTTTTCTAGAAAACTTTCCAATCTACAGCTATTGAAGTAGCATATAAGTGGAAAATAACTCTTCCAAAAATATTATAAACTGATATTCAGATGTAAGTTGACTATTTTTAAAACGTTTCATATTATTTAAGAAATATCTAAAATCATTTTGTTGGTGTATTAATTTATTATACATTAGATTATAGTAACATAGTGTAGTATTAATTCATATAGGTTATAGGCAATATTATATTAGGTTATATTATATAGTATGTCGTTTAAAAATTGAGAGGCACTTATACCTTTTTGGTAAATGGACCATTTTTTTATGAACACTAATAATATTGCTTTATTAATAAAATTAATTCTTTATCAATTCAAAATGACGTTCACAAAAATAGTTTATCGTGTATTTTAAGTACATAATGAGAAACAAATTATTTGTTAATCTTGTCTTTTACAAATTCTTTACTTTGTTTAGTTTTATATGTTCATGTGATTTATTGTTTTTTCTTCTTGAAAGTTCAAAGAAGAAAGTAAATTTTTTAATTTACTTGTTGTAGAATAAAGAAAAATATTGTGTGAAGAGAGCTTTAGTAAATTAGTGACTTGAATACTTAGAATTTGTACAGAGGTTATTAGGTTTAATTAAATTAATTAATAGAAGATTAGTAAGTTGTGAAATTTAATAATAGAACATATTTAGATTATAAAATTGAATAATAGAAAGTTCTTAAATGATCGCTTTAATGAGTCAAAAATGCAATAACAGTTTATTTTCATACATGCAATTGAAAGAATTATTATATGCATTAAAATTACGAAATATGTTTAAAGGTACTAAATTATAGACACAAAATTACAAATTTTTCTATTTTTTTCCATTGCGATTGGTACTGATATTCATTCTTTATTATTATTATAATAATTCTAGTTTATTTAAAAATGATTTATTCGCTATTAAACTTCTTCCAATTTTTTTAGCTTTAAAAGAAATACTGCTCTTTTGTTTGTAATGTTATTGTAATTATTAAATATTAAGTATTAAAATATTAACAATTTTAACGATTTTTAATATTCCCAATTGTATAATGTTTTTATTTAAAAAAGAATCAGGAAGAATCTCTACGAAATAAAAATATTTAACATGCAATGTTAATTGAATATTGTAAACGATATCATGTTATCTGATACTGATCACTTGATTACTTCAATGCATCGAATAGCAATATTATAATTTAATCACTGTGAAACTTCTATCTCTTCAATTATTTAAACTAATAATTTCATTACTTCTCTTTCGTTTCTGTTCATAAAGTAAAATTCATAAAGTAAAATTATACATTTTTAATTAATTAATATCCAAATATTTTTAGATTTTGAAATATTCAAAATCATTTAAAATCTTTTCCTAATTTCTTTCATTAACTTCAATCAGAGAGTAATTACAAGATTTTCAAGAATAAAATTACAATGATAAAATTCATTACAAAATAATTAATATTTAATGGAAGTCCATATTCTAATTTCATAAGGTGATCAACTTCACAAGGAGATAAATTTAAATTCGGAAAACAGGAAATAATTTATCCACAAATTTTCATTCTTATCATTTGATAATCTTGTAAGTACCAGCAAATAATTCCAGAAATATATTTAAATAAAATTATGACCATCAATCTGACATAACTCTGAAACGATAACGTCTTAATACGTCTAATATTTCTGGCTTATATCAAAAGCAAATTTTGTAACATTACCTAATTGATACAATCCCCAGTTGTTTTAATGTTACAGTATACTCGATACCTTCAGTTTAAATTACTATCATGTTTGAATGGCATGAGTGGCACATGTCTTGCTGCCAAACGTGCCGACAGATATGTATGCAGAATATGAAATTTTGCAAAACATTGTAGAAAATATTACGTGGCAACGAACTTGCAAATTAAATTGCCACAATAAGCATGCGCCATGACAGCACGCATCCCACTTACGAGGTGTGACACAAAAGTAACGAGACTAG